ACAACGCACGGATACCAGACTGTCTCTCTCTCTCTCTCTCTCTCTCTCTCTCTCTCTCTCTCTCTCTCTCTCTCTCTCTCTCTCTCTCTCTCTCTCTCTCTCTCTCCTTTCCCGAACTCCTCTCTGTCTTTCTCTCTCTCCCTCTCCCTCTCTCTCCTTCCCCAAACTCCTCTCTCATTCCCACCGCCGATCTCTGGAATGCTGCTCTCCACCAGCGTCGTCCACTGTCCCGTACGTCTATGCGCATGACAATGTGTGGAGTTTCCATGCCGACCACGTTCGGGATGGAGAACCCCGAAGACGGCCCGCGGCAGCCCGAGTACGTAGTGGGTCGGTCTGGCACACTTCCACAAACCTCCCCGCGATGAATCTTCCGCGGGAACATTGACACATACAGGGGATGCGAAAAAAAGGAGGGAAAAAAAAACCTCGAACGGACACACAAGTTGTAGTCAGGCACATTGTGAAACTTCACCCTCTCCCGATTTTTCGATGGGCCCTACCTGGGACCCTGCATCTTCCCGGTTCCTAGCGGGAGATTGACTCTCATTTTGCACATTTGGTGAGTTCTGGAGCCGGCCCGACGGGATACGCGCGCTGATAACAAAGCAATTTCGTATCTTCGGCCTTCTGAGCATGGCCGATCGCGCCGTTATGTACTTGTATTCGAACGCTATTGCTCCAACGCTGCAACTCTTCTTTTCGTTGGGCCCGCCTCTTGTCCCGCCTGTTTCCCAACACTGGAAGGCGGGTTTCGAGTGGGAATGTCACGCGAGACCCGCTATTCGCTTAAAAAAGAGAGTAAGAGAAGAGGGGGAAAAAACTTCCCTTATGCGGCGATCGCGGTCCTATACAGAACGCCACACTGCTGATGTGAGTATGTCGTAAGTGAGGCAGTTATGTGCCCCTTGTCGAATCCACCCTGCCTCACTGGCAGGGCACAAAAAAGTAACGAAAACAAGGGGGAAAAAATGGAATCATAAGAAATCACGATCCCCACATACCAGCCAGATACATTCCATTTTGCACTGGTATCACTTCCATCTCCGCGAGTGCCTTCCCCACCGAAAACAAATGAAAAGAAAACAAAAAACCTTCCCTTATGCTGCGATCCCAGCCTGATACAGAAGCTATAATGCTGATGTGAGTATGTTGTGAGTGAGGCAGCTACATGCCTCCCGTGGAAACCGGCCTGCCTCGCCGGCAGGACACCAAAACGAAAAGAGAACAAGGAAAACAAAAGCGCAGACGGAAGGAAGCGTGAGTGTGTCTTAATTGTTGTGTATAATTCCGACTTGCCGGTGGAATAGGAACCGGACTGACGCTCCCCAAAATAGAAGGAGCCTTTGTTTTAAAAAAAAAAAGAAAAAAAAAAAGAAAAAAAGAAAAAGAAAAGAAATTACGTTCCTTACAATCTGGCCAGTGGCCAGATACACTCAAAGCACTGGTGTGACCTCCACCTCCGCAAGGGTCTTCACGACGTCCACGGTCCCAATCATTTTTGTTTTTGTTTTTCTTTCCTACCGATGCTACACCGGACCCCCGAACTTTGCCGTTGAGGTCATTTTCCCAAATGGGACTACATCTTGGAAAGGTAGTGGTGGTTTAAGAAAAGCGATAGAAGACTCGGGCATTCCCTTGCAGCACGTGTCGTCTACTCAAGGGGGGGGGGGGGGTTGCCACGAGCCGACCTCTCCCCATACCATAGCCTTCCTGGCAGACTTCTGCTGGCCGCGAAGCTTATTGGCAGCACCAAGTCACACAGCAGAAGAGTCTCAGGAGAGGCAAGGTGCGGGTACTAACCGTCTGATTGTTCAACAACTACATCGTACGTATTCTCTCAGGGACACTAGGACTTTCCTTCATGTACATAGCTGCTTTTCTGACCCGGTCTGGATGCACCTGATGGCAATTGCGTCCACAGAGAATTGGAAAAAGTCCTAGTGTGCGTATGCCGTTACTCACATTTGGTCCTTGTTGCTGTATCTGGACTGAAAGATGCACAAAATACCCCTGTAATGACTGTTCATGTATTCGGGGGAAAATGTTAGTCTCTTTTCTGGGCTGCCTGATTTCCTTGTGATTCCCTAGAGCTGTTTCCGGATATTTGTTGGAGTGGTGGTATTGCTCTGTAGGCAGGACGTATGGTCCTTATTGCTGAATCTGGACTGAAAGTTGGATAACATACAGTTATAATGATCGTACATTGTGTTCGGAATATATGTAGGGAAGGTTGCGGATCCTATGTTTGACCGTGCGCTGCCGGAGACTTTTCTTCAAATTTTAGGGCTTGTGTGAAACCGGGAAACTTGTGTTTTGGACTGGGCAGGACTTCGAGTCCTGGACCAGCAGGTGTAAAAAGGTGGCAGCAGTCGTGGGGGCGCATTGCATCGGATGGATAGGAATACTACGAACATGGCCGAGATACCTGTCCAGATTCTGGTGCTGAGAAAGGAGTTCAGACTGAAAGGGTTCCTGGACAAGTTTTTCAACCAAGTCCTGAGCAGATTTACGTGAGACAGAGTAGGCATTCAATTAGGCAGGCAGTGAATTATGGATTAAGTCTTTCATATCGAGCAGAGTTTACAGAAGGGAAACTCTGCTCTTCCTCTCTGTGCGTATCACCAGCCGCTCGTTTACCAGGCCTGCTCTGTATAGAACTAATATCATTGGAGACTCCCGGTTATCGAGATTGTGGCAACCCTTAAGTTGGCCCTGAGTCCGCCTGTAGATTTCCAGCTTCTCTTTTTTTTTTTTTTTTATGTTACGATTCTGGTCATTCCCAAAGTGCAAATTCACAATGAAAGACAATGCCACCCAACTGTGAAAGAAATGAAAGCACTTGCAAAGAGATAGAGACCAGAGGGTAGAGAAAGAATAAAAAGAAGAAGAAGAGGAAGAAGAAGAAGATGTACACCAGCAAGACCACTGACAATCCCCCTTCTCTCTCCACCTTCCTCCTCCTCCTTCACTTCCCCAATCTTATTCTTCTCCCAATAATAATAATAACAATGAGTGGATGAACCAGAATCAATATCCGAAGTTCCCTCTTACTGCTGACTCAACAACAACAACAACAACAACAAGTCCACCATAGCTATGGCTTCCCTCCTTCTTCCTCCTCTCACATGCCCAGGCTATGGCGGACTACTGAGGGCCCTGCCCTCCTGTCCAAAGGACAACCCAAAGCAGCTATGGCACTGCACTCCTGTCCAAAGGACAACCCAAAGCAGCTATGCCGCTGCTGACTGATCCGCCATGCCAGACTCTGCCTCGAGCTTCCTTGGTCCGACACTACCCCAACTGGGACCTTCCAGGTGCAGCGCCCAACAAGGTGATGAAGATGGTGTCCACCATAGCCAGGTAGGTGCCTCGCCGCTCTCCTCCTTCGCCCCCTTCTTCCTCCTCAGGCTGGGCTGCTCGCCATAGCCAGGCTGAGCGCCCAGGATGCCCTTCACCTCCAGGTAGCGCTGTACCAGCCCAGCGCTCCGCTCAGCAGCATGTCGCCAATACTTGCATACCGCAAATGAGGAGGAGCTACTTGCTCCTCCCGAAGATATAGCGGCCTACTGGCCTCTTGGGCGGTGACTTCCTAGGCCGAGCGGCCTCCCAGCAACCGGTACCTCCTCCCTTTCAGAGGGAAACATCATTGCAGGCTCTGCTATCTTCCGAACAGGCCCTAGACCCGGGCTACTTGGACTGGTACCGGCCTACCTCTAGCTTACCGCTACTGGGCCTCTAAAAATGCCAACTTTTTGTCTTCTTCTGCTCGGCCTCGAGTACCTGACACTTCTACCACTACTTGAGTGGTACCGGCCTACCTGCTACTTGAGTGTTTTTCCCCTCTGTTCTAAGTGTCGCGGGCCTACCCCCCGCTACTCGAGTGTTTTCCCCGCTGCAACCCTCAAAGTCACGGCCACAGGTAAGTCCTGGCCCTGCGGGGCCTTTCAACCAACAAGTACCCTTGCGGGTCACACACACACTCAGCCGACAAGCACTCAGACAGGCATGCAAACCAGCAGGCACGCACACACACACAGACATGGAAATCACAGCAGAATGCGGGAATCTCAGCAAGGCATTCATTCCAGCGGCAAATCCCAGAAATCAGCAGTGTTCTCAGTCTGTGTTTTTGGCCGGTCGTTACATTTAAGAAAAGCCCAGATTGCTGTCGTTTGCCGCTCGAGTTTTTTTTTTTTTTTTTGGTTTCTTTCTTTCTTTTCTACTCTTGCTTGTTACGGACCACAACTGATTTTCATAGTTGGTTGTTACAAAGTTGCTGAGCAAAGGTTTTCTCAGAACTTCCTCCTTTGGACTTTGGCTTCGTGATTTTGTCTTGCAAATGTTCATGTTTTGGCCAAGGTTGGCTTGGTGTGTCCCTTATTTCCTGCTGTTATCCTCTTCTTCCACTTCCCCCGCTAGTGTTGGCTAGCTACATCTAAATCATTTTTACGTTTTAGGTATGAAGTTTCTTCGCAAAGCTTAGTCCTCGTCTCCTAGTCCCTGGGATATGCACACTTGAGTGAAGTTCAGTTGTTGTGATTCTCCAGTGAGCCCGGGTAGTGATTGGGTGTAGGTCCAACAGGAATGATGGACAGCCTTAGGCGATTGGTTGATCAAGTGCTTTTACTCATTGCCTGGCTTTTTTGAAGAATCCGTGCTGCTGCCGTCTGTTTCTGGCGAACATTCTACTTGGCGATTGACAGTACTCTCTCTTTTTTCTCTTTGTACCCCTCCCTTTGCACTCCTTGCAGGTTGAGAGAGAGAGAGAGAGAGAGAGAGAGAGAGAGAGAGAGAGAGAGAGAGAGAGAGAGAGAGAGAGAGAGAGAGAGNGAGAGAGAGAGAGAGAGAGAGAGAGAGAGAGAGAGAGAGAGAGAGAGAGAGAGAGAGTGTTGATTGGTTGGTGTGTCTTCGATCTTTGGGTTTGGTTGCCATCCGCCGTTCATTTCCTCTTCCTCTTCTCTCTGGGTTTGGGTGTTATTGCTCTTGTCATTTTCTAGGCATCCCTGAGGCGGTTGAAATGAGCAGAACAAGTGCTGAAGAGGAAGAGGTTTCACAAAGCCACAGATTTAGTAATGATTCGGCGAACTCGAGGGTGGAATCCATGGAGTGGAAGTCTGCAAAGATTGGAACGCAATTGGCATCACAGATCTGTGTCCCGTGTCCATGTTCATGGGTCGGATCGAAGCCTGATATGGCGAAACTAAAACTGATGATACATGCCGCTTTAAAGAAGGGTGGTCCTAACGCCGAATACATATTGAAGTATGAGAATACGGGCAAGGCGGCCTGCTGGGCAAAGTTTGCCCATGTGTACAGATCTGATGGATCAGTTGTGAAAGAGCAAAACACTGGTTATGTTGCCTGTAAACAATGTTTTACTGTTTATGCATACAGCACTTTGAATGGCACAAGATCTTTGAATCAACACAAGTGCCAAGCTGAAAGTGCAGAAGCGGCAAACATGCGCATCTTTGCAACCAAAAAGCTTGAACCAAGTGCTGGACAAAAAAGGAAGGTTGCAAATGCCGCAGCGCTGATGTGCTGTGTCGATCTGCTCCCGTTTTCAACGCTAGGTGACGAGGGTTTTCACATGTTTTTGCAACTGATTCTCGACATAGGCATTAGTGTAGACAAAGGCATGGACATCGGAAGTTTTCTGCCATCCGCAAACACACTGAGTCGACAGGTTACCTCAACTGCAGTGTCTGTTAGGGGGACTGTGAAGCAAAGAGTGAGGGAGCACTTTGAGGAAAACATTTCTGCTGGATTTACTATAGATCTGTGGACGGATGTGATCAAGCAGAATTCTTTTATGTCTGTCACCATGCATTACATCGACAAAGGTTTCGAGTTGCATGCTCGAAACTTGCGAACGAGGGTTTTTTATGAGGAAGCTCACACACAGCAACCCTCGTTCTGAAGGCATTCCAAGAATGCCTAGTGGAATTTGGATGTGATCGGGAAGATCTCTGCATCCTTTGCACTGATAGCAGGTCCATTATGTCAGGGGGTGAGGGGATCGGAAGTCTGTACAAATGGCAGGCTTGTGCAGGCCACAAGATTGACACAATCCTCACCACAGGTCTGAACAAAACTACGACAGTCAGCGATGGGGAAAGATCGGCTCGTTTTGACGGATTCAAAGAACATGCGGCTGAAGTTTTTGAGTTGATTGACAATTGCAAAGACCTCGTGCGTTATGTCAAGCAGGAGGACTTACAGAAATCCTTTGGAACGATGTTAATACATGAGAACGCAACAAAGTGGAACTCGTTGTTGGAAGTACTGGACAGCGTGAATGCAACAAAGTGGAACTCTTTGTTGGACGTACTCGACTGCATCATCGCCAGCTATACCGAGTTGTCATATCTTCTAAGGGATAGACCAGGAAATGGAAACATTCTGATTGACAAGATTGATTATGAACTGTTAGTTGAACTCGCTAGATTTCTGAACCGTTTTGTGGAGGCTGCACTCAAGCTGGAGAAATATCTGCAGCCAACTCTGCACCTTGTGGTTTTTGAGCGCCATGCCATCTGGGAGCGTTGTCGGGTACGTACTGAGTCCTGCCAGTCTGTGGACAACTCGGGAAACGAGATAACTATTCTGCCAGATTCGAAGAGCATCAGCTCCATCAAGGAACTGATTCGGGATGTCCTGAACGAGAAGTGGCCACTGGAAGATTTACATGTTGTTGCAGCTTTTCTCGATCCGCGGCAAAAGGGCCGTCTCGAATTGTTTGGTGGCCCTCCGTCTGAAATTGAGCGAGCGAAGTCTTCTTTGAAGACTATTATGCACAACATTGGTGTTGCTGTGGCAGCATGTGATGATGTTGTTGACAACAGCAAATCTGTTCTTGATCCTGAGCCGGCAAGGCCAGCGAAGAAACGCAACGTAAGAACGGGAAGGCGGCACGTTTGCTTACATAGCTCCGACGAGGATGACGATGAAAGTGATTGCGGTCTGGGCCGTGTTGTTGTGTTGACGTTAATGGAGAGAATTGAGGAGGAGTTTGAGTTGTATCGTAATTTGAAGCTGACCAAAGGGGTGAAGAAGACAATGGACGTTTTACGGTGGTGGAAAGGGAAGGGGACTCCCCAGAGAACTTCAGAGGACAACCTTTTGCAGCCCCTGTTGCCACTCATGGCCAAGGCAGCACGAGCAGTGTTGTGTGTACCTGCTTCGAGTTCCTTGAGTGAGCGGAATTTCTCAGATGCAAGCAACGCCGTTAAGGACAGACGGAATATGTTACGTCCGTCGGTTATCAATTATGTCTTGCTCTTGAGATCCAATAGGGATTTGATTGGCTGCGGTCTTCAACCCCTGAATACCATGCCTGGACATTATAGCTTGCCTGGTCATTATAGCTGTATGTGAGACAACTTTCAGTCTGCATTTCGCAATAATGACCAGGCGTTCTGTTCAGATGAAGCCGTAGAATGTAGACGTTGTAGAGTAGTAGTGACTGTAGTCATTTGCTGTGTCGTGTTACAAGGAGCAGCCGAGCAAGATCGACAAGTATCTTGCTGCACTGCAGACAAAGGAGTTTTAGCAATTGACCTCTGGCGGACAGAGAAGCAACTGTGGCAATTGGGTAGCTCAAGGATGAGAGAGATCATGAAAGTGTCATAGCAGTTGGCCTCTAGCAAACAGAGGAGCAAGACTATTTATTCCCCTCATGCCGCTGATGCCCATGTGGAAGTAGCAGCAGCATGCTGCTATGATGCTGATGCTGGCACTGAAGCAATAGCAGCATGCTGCTATTCTGCTGATGCCAACACTGAAGTAGCAGCTGCATGCTGCTAATCTGCCGATGTCAACACTGAAGTAGCAGCAGCATGCTGCTAATGCTGCGAATGCTGCGAATGCTGCTGTGCTGCTAATGCTGCGAATGCTGCTGTGCTGCTAATGCTGCTGTGCTGCTAATGCTGCTAATGCTGCTAATGCTGCTAATGCTGCTAATGCTGCTAATGATGCTAATGCAGAAGTTGAAGTAGCATCAGCTGAAGCTGTTTTGTTTTACTCTTTTTTCCTCTTGCATTAGCAGGCTTCGTATCATACCGACAGGCCTAGCTCAGTTGGTACCCCCATGCACTGTTGAAATACAGACCTATGTTCAAATCCAGATGGAACTAAACTGATGAAATTCTGAATTGCCTGAGGACACTCAGTTCAACAAGATATCTCACAGCTCTCACCCATTCTGTTTTTTTTTTTTTTGTTTTAATAATTAAAGCAGCATTAGCACCAATATCAGTTTAGGAGCAGCAGCATCGGTAGGAGCTATGGCTCTGCTGCTGTTGCTGGTGCAGATGTTGTTCTACTGTTGACGCCGCTGATACAGTTCCTTTTGTAGAAGCTGAACTGTCGCCTCAGAAGCTGCTGATGCAGATGCTGCCACTGCTGAGCTGCTACTGTTGCTGATGCGGATGCTGCTGCGTTGCTGATGAGTATTGCTCCACGTTCCTGTGTCCTTAACCGTTACGAGTTTTCTGAGTGTTGTTGAACATCCTGAGTTCATGCATTGCATTTACTTGTCCTTCCACATTGAGGGTTTTATGAATATTTGTGGCGCATTCTATGCTTGTGCCTCAGTTTGCCCTCGAGTATTCTTACTGGTCTGAGACTCTTTGAGCCTTTTGGGAATGCCGAGTTTTTCTGAGTTCAGCGTTATGCTCAAAGATTGGTACGGGATGCAAGAATGTCCAGAACAGCTCAATACTCTAACGGGATGCAAGAACGCTTGGCTTAGAGTTTGGTAGTGGTGACTCATGAGTCTTCTCGGTCGTGCAACTGGGCAGTACATCCTCTTGTAAGGAAGAGCAATCCATACTTGCCAGGACAGAAAAAGGTCATACAGAACCCTGTAATTTGTGTGTATAACGCGTGCCCAGATTGCCAGCATGTGCTGCTCGCCACCAGGAGATGGAGCCTCGCAAGGGAGCGGAATCGTGAACCCCCAGGCTGCGATGGGGTCAGGAGGATGATCGATGTATCAAGCTTTCTTCTTTCTTCTGAGGAAAAAAAAGGAATCAATGAATGTTGCAGCCTCGCAGCGTGATCTTTTGTCTGCGATCTCTGGCCCCGGATCCTTTTCCATTCTGGGGAGCATCAGTCCGGTTCCTATTCCACCGGCAAGTCAATAAAGTAGTACATCATAATTACAAACACACGCTTCCTTCCGTACGGCCGAAGGACCCCTGACCAGCATTGACTACTCCATCCGCATGGAGGATTGACTGTCAGCTTGCCGTGCTATACCTCTGGAACATTTCTTCGTGGAGTTTTATATGAAATGTTATGTTCTTCAATGCACACCCTAGTTTGTTAGTATTCTTAGTATTTCTTATGTGTTGGAACTATTCTTTTGAATCTTGGAGGCTAGCTTTATGAAAGATGAACTTGAATCTTGAATCCTGAATCTCGAATCTTGAAGGCTTGAAGTTTAATTCATTGAGCATGGAATCTATGGATGATAAAGATCGAAAAATGAAAGTGGTATACAGTACTATACACTTATGTGCCTGCGTGAAGGTGGGTTAGAGCTGTAGATTATAGATGGGTACTGAAGGTTACAGGTAGAGTGGCATGCTGGGGCCCCGCGCAGCTATGTGCCCTGAACATCTCTTGGGGAGGCTCCTTGGCCACCTAGGCCACTTTTTTGTGGCTTCCTACGGACTAAGAGGGCCTCAGCCATCTTGGGGCCGCCGGGGCCCCTGGGTGTCTGTTCTGTGGTCGTCTGTTCTCAGTTCAGTTGTATTCAGTGTGCTTTTGCGTTCGATTGCTGCTTACTTTCTTGGTGTCAGTATGGTTTGGTTTTGTGCCACTTTTCTTTTCTTTTCTTTTCTTTTCTTTTTATTTTTTTTTATTTTTTTTTATTTTTTATCAGGTCCTTATGGCCCTGGCTCCGTTCCATTCTGGGGAGCAGCAGTCCGGTTCCTATTCCACCGGCAAGTCAGGACAAAGTATTACATCATTAAACACACTCAACGCTTCCTTCCGTCTGGCCGAAGGAACCCTGATCAGCATTGATTGCTCCAGCAACCTGGAGGATTGACTGTCAGCTTGCCTTACTTCCGCCTTCCCTCTCAGCTCCACTGTACGGACCTGCCAGATAAGTGATAAGGACAAGAAAAGCGGAAGAACTGCAGGAGGTGAAAGGAGGTCTACTCTTCAGAGTTTTTCAACTCCTCCCCTTTCCTCAATCTGCTCTCTTGTACCACTACTGTTTTCCTGATTTATCTCTTTCCTTAACCCCTAAACCCTAATGTGTCTTTATCTTTAACCGCATGTCTATTTGACACAAGCTATGATTCCTCTCTGGGGCCACTACGCCGCGTGTATGTCTACCCTACTGCTCTGTGATCTCGCTGATTCCAGCGAAGCAAGATCTGTTGCTGTGTCTCTCTGTGAACAATCTTCTCGTCTCTTCCAAACCAGTCTTAGAGGGTCTCCTTCCACGGTGCCGAGTTTACCCGTTCCAGGCCTGTTTTTGATAAATTCCTCTATGATTGCCTGCTTTCTTGGTGGGTCTTCTTTGATATTCTTGACTGCCCGGTTCCAATCCGCTTGATATTCCTGCCGTAAAAGTTTTGATGTTTGGATAGAGTCCTGAAAAAAGAAATCTAGACCAGGACAAAACAAAGTGGTTTTGTGCCACTTTGTTTTGTCCTGGTCTAGATTTCTTTTTTCAGGACTCTATCCAAACGTGCACGGTTTGTTCTGTTTGAGAAGCTGGTGTATAGCATCTCCTGTTTTTGCCCAGCTCGTCTGTTTGAGGCTGGACCAATTTCCGACTTCTTGTGCGCAAGCCAGTTCACAGTCCAGGCACAGCTGCTGAGGACTGTACCTGAATAAGGACCCAGGCTACTCGTTTGCAGGATCGGGTGATGCAGCAGGATGTTGCCTTCATTCCAGGCTATCGGATCGCGGTCTGATCTGATGGCCAAGGATGGAGGCCGGATTGGTTGGTGACTGGCCCAGTAGTATATAGGACCCAGGCTACTCGTTTCCGGGTTCGGGTGATGCAGCAGGACGTTGCCTTCATTCTAGGCTATCGGATCGTGGTCTGATCTGCCGGCCAAGGATGGACGCTGGATTAGTTGGTGACTGGCCCAGTAGCATATAGGAGAGGCCAGTCCAGTAGATGGTCGGTAGTCTTTAATTTAGTCATGTGCCACCAAGCTGCAAGTGAGAGTAGAGGAGCAGCCTACTGGTAAACGAGGTGGTTCAGTGTTGGTTAGAGCTGGAGAGGTTGGAGGTGAAGTGGATTCCATTCGCCTGGGACCGTTACTGTCATTTAACTTGTCCGTATCATCACACACACACACACACACACAGAGGAGGAGAGGGGGGGGTAAGGGCAAGGGAGAGAGGGAGAGAGAGAGCTGGGCGATAGAGTACCTGTATGGTGATGTCTGAGTTGCGGTCATAGACACTCAGATCAGAACTCAATTCTTGTATAATGTCAAATGTTTTGAGGTGTTTCCATCTTGGTTTGGGCTACTTCGCCATCTCGGTGCCTCAAGTAATTTCTTTGAGTGTTCGGTAAGCTGGTTCATTGCATCCCATCCCATCCCATCCCATCCCATCCCATCCCCATCCCATCCCATCCCATCCCATCCCATCCCATCCCATCCCATCCCATCCCATCCCATCCACTGCGTTTGTTCAGTTGTTCAAAAAGTAATTATCGCAGTCTTAATCCTATCCAATGCCATCTTTGTTCCGATGCGCTCCCATTTCATTCAGACTATAGAGACCCTTTGTCAGTCCAGTCCACTGCAAAGTTTCCTGTTCGCCCTCCGTTCTCTCTCTCTCTCTCTCTCTCATTCAATCCAATCAATCCAACCCAATCAATCCCAGTTTCAAACCCATTGAGATGTTGCACATACATGTAGTTAGTGGACCATCCACTCGTTTACAAAATGTTTAATAATCGCAATTACTAAGTCTGCAATAAGACTTGTCTCAATTTCACTCGCAATATGCATACATGTAGGTGCCGATGGCAACACAACTTTGTCAACGTAGAATCAGCAACAAACTTGCGATGGCGCACAGCGCCCAAACAGAAAATTCATAAATATGGCCCTAGGCCAGTAACTCGAGCTCAGGTCAGCTCGTCACATCTAGCGGCTATGGCCGCTGCACGCTGGTCTGAATTCCCCCTCGAACACTGTCTCCACCATCAGACACTCTCTCACTCACACACATACGTACTAGGATCTACCCTGAATGTGCACGCCCCTACACACACACACACTGTACTCTAGCTGTTGACGTCAGCAACCTGGTGGCTATGGCCGTCGTCGTCTTCCTCCTCTCTTTTGCAGCTATGACCGCTGTCTTCCTCCACTAGCCCACTTTGTCGTCGGTTTCCTGCAGACCTCTGATGTACAAGTCACATAAGCAGCGCTTCCGCATGGTTCACAGGGGAATGAATGAATGGCTGGGCTCTGCCTCTTTATTCATGCTGTTTCATCGGTGGTCTGGCCTGCCTTCGGTCCCAGGCACAAAGTGTGTGCAGCCCCACCTGGTACTTGCTGACTAGACAAGGTGGACTGGAACTCTAGACTGGGACTGCTGACTAAGCTAGGACAAGACTCTACCTTGCTGACTCAGCTACGGCGACTGACTCCTACAGCTCCGAAGAGCCAAGTAGCGACTTCTAGAAACTCCTAGGCTACGACTGGCTGACCCTTAGCTATACGTAGGGCTAGGCTACTGGACTGACCCTTACGACCGCTGACCCGTAGGTCTACGGTTCAAGTCCACACAACCGTACTACCGACACTAACCACTGTTATACGTTTTGAGGGACAGGTCGTGGGTTCAAGGCACACAGGGTCCATGGGTAGCTGTTCTGGGGTTCTGGGATAGGTCTAGGGAACGAGCCCTGGGATTTGCAATTGTCGCGTGAACTGAGTGAAACCGTTTTACGCCACTGGTTACTTAAAATCCTGGCTATTTTCAAGTATTTTGTTGAGTTTTCCTGTTTTACAATTGCTATATCATTTTCAATATTCAACAGTCAATTGTTTGACTATAGTAGTAGGAAGTCTAGTTTTTACTCCTATATGTGGTATCCATTCTTGTTCGACTCTTGGATTGAGATCTACAGACTTGAGAAAAAACGAGTTTCTTCCTTTTTTACCACATTGCCTACTTTATTACCTTTTTGATGTATGGAGTGCTGTTCTGTTCTCTTTCTTTGCAGGTCGCGGTGAAAGGTTTCCGCGATTGGTAAGCTTACTGGTTGATCAGAGCTGGGCAGAAGTGATGAAGGACGAGTTCCGTAAACCGTACATGGAGAGGCTAGAGCAGTTCGTAGGAGATGAAGCCTGCGCAAAGGCTGCCATTTATCCACCGACAGAGATGATCTTCAGAGCCTTCAACACCTGTCCATTTGACAAAGTCAGGGTTGTTATAATTGGTCAGGTAAAGCTGTGAAACTGTTTTATTTAAAATTTACATTGTTTTACTTGTTTTTTATTATGCCTTTTATCTTAGATTTAAAATTTGGAATGATGCAGAAACAATTAGCATGGCCGCTGCAACGAGGTTGACAACTTGACACCCTTAAATCGAGAAAGGGTGCATTTTCTTTTTATATCAAGACCACCACTAACTCCAACCCTGTTTTTGCCGGGCCTGATTTTCACTGCGCACCAAGTTTTGCTGAGCTGGGGCAGTTGCATCTGAAAAGGAACAAAGGAGAAGGAGGAGGAGGAGGAAAAGAAGAAGAAGAAGAAGAAAATCCTACCATCAGATACATTCTATGAGGTGCTAGTGTGACTGTGCCCGAAGAAGAAGAAGAAGAAGAAGAAGAAGAAGAAGAAGAAGAAGAAGAAGAAGAAGAAGAAAATCCTTCCCCAGCCCCGTGATAACCATCAGATACATTCTATGAGGTGCTAGTGTGACTGTGCCCTCAGTGGGCGTGTGACAGACGGAGAAGCAAAAAACAAAAAGTATCCCTTATGATGTGATTGAGGCCGATACAGGATGCTACAGCGCTTAATGTGAGCATGAGATAAGTAAGACAGTTAGCCCCCACGTGTGGAGTATGCCCTGCCTGCCTGGCAGGGAACTACAAGGACATGAAAACGAGGGGGGGGGGGGAGAGAACCAACAGCAATCACGTTTCTCACTCAGTGGCCAGATACCTTCGTCAAAAGCACTGGTGTAACTTCCACTTCCTGAGGGCCTTCCCGGACGTCCCTAGATTCGAGACTCTTAGTTTTTTGAACTTTTTTCTTCTTTTTTTCTTCTTTGTTTTTTCATTTTCTTTTCTTCGGCCTCCAACCCTGCCCCGAGGCCCAATTTTTAAGGAGAAAGCTACTAGTGGTGGTTTAAACTTTAAAGGGAAAAAGAAAAAAAAAAGAAAGAAGGAATGTGAGGAGATTGGGTGTCTTCCTGATTTCATGATTTTCATGTTGCCATATGTCCAGCAGGCCCAGCCCTCCAAATCTTCTCGGTTGGGTGAGCTTGCACCAGGCAACTCTGCATATGGAGTTCTCTGCCGTCGCATTGTTCGACCACACATGCGCCTGAACCGCCCTTCTAATGTACCGGAAGGTATGCCTCCCTGACATATGTATTGCACCC